TAATGGGAAAACAGCCAAGTCAGGAGCAGCCGCACGCTCCCCAGTTAGGCTTGAAAGGACTTGTTGCGCTATCTGTCTCTCTCTGTCATTTATCCTTCTGTCCATCATCTGGAATATCTTTCCTGCCTCAGATAGAATTGGTAGGTATAAGGACAAACAAATATACTTTGAGTCCATATATGTTAAAAGAAAGGCTTGGGGGGTCGTTGGGGGAAAAAATAAATCTTTCAAAGTGCTCACAGCCCTTGACTTGGTATTTTTTTTTTATTTAAATCTTTTATTTATTTTTTATTAATTACATTTTATTCATTTTGTATCCCCCCATAAGCCCCTCCCTCCTCCCCTGCCAATCCCACCCTCCCTCCCCTTTCTGCATGCATGCCACTCCCCAAGTCCACTGATAGGGGAGGTCCTCCTCTCCTTCTTTCTGATCTTAGTCTATCAGTTCTCATCAAAAGTGGCTGCATTGTCCTCTACTGTGGCCTGGTAAGGCTGCTCCCCCCCAGGGGGAAGTGATCAAAGAGCAGGCCAATCAGATTATGTCAGAGGCAGTCCCTCTTCCCATTACTATGTAACCCACTTGGACACTGAACTGCCATGGGCTACACCTGTGCAGGGGTTCCAGATCATCTCCACTAATAGTCCTTGGTTGGAGTAGGAGTCTCTGGGAAGTTCCCTGTGTTCAAATTATCTTGTTCTGTTGCTCTGCTTGTGGAGTTCCCGTTCCCTCCAGCTCTTACTATTTCCCACTTCTTACATAAAATTCCATTCACTCTGCCCATCAGTTGGCCATCAGGCTCAGCATCTGCTTTGACAGTCTATACTGCAGAAGCTTTCAGAGGCCCTCTGTGGCAGGTTTCAAGGTGGTTTCCTGTTTTCTTCTGGCTTTCAGAGGCCCTCTGTAGCGGGTTCCGAGGTTGTTTCCTATTTTCGTTTTCTTCTGATGTACATCCTCTTTGCCTTTCAGGATGGGGATTGACCATTTTAGTTAGGGTCCTCTCTTTTGCTTAGTTTGTTTAGATGTACAGCTTTTAGTGGGTTTATTCTATATTGTATGTTTATATGAGTGAGTATATACCGTGAGTGTCTTTTTGCTTCTGGGTCAACTCACTCAGGATGATCCTTTCCAGGTCCCACCATTTACCTGCAAATTTCATGATTTCCTTATTTTTCATTGCTGAGTAATACTCCATTGTATAGATGTACCACAGTTTCTGCATCCATTCTTCAGTTGAGGGGCATCTGGGTTGTTTCCAGCTTCTGGCTATTACAAATAAAGCTGCTACAAACATGGTTGAACAAATGTCCTTGTTGTGTACTTGCGCCTCTTTTGGGTATATGACTTGGTATTTAAGAGCTGACGCTAAGCAGCTGCCAGTACGTACAGACAGAGCACTGCACTGAACCAGGGATTTAAATTTTCTTACTTCACGTCATGCGAATGGGGTTTTTGCCTGCATGTGTGTCTGGGCAGCACTTGCATACCTGGTACCCACAGAGGCCAGAAGAGGACATGAAATCCCCTGGAACTGGAGCTGCAGATAATCATGACCACTATGCAGGTGCTGAGAATTGAACCCAGGTGCTCGAGAAGAGCAGCCAGCCTTCTTAACTGTCGAGTCACATGTCTGGCTCCTTAAACATAGCTACAAAAATTAATGGGCTATCCATATAGTGTGGTACTACATAACCTCCAACAAATCCTTTCTTTATGAGGACATGGATGCTGTAGAAGGCTTTCTCAAAGAGATAGCCGTGGGTTGGGGAGACGGTTCAGCCAGCGCTTATTACATAAAATCCATGAGGACTTCAGTCTGAATCCCCAGGCTACCTGTAAAGCCATGTAAGTAAGTTTGTCATCCCAGTGTTTTTCTGGGCACAGGCGAGCGGAGACAGGAGACTACCCAGAAGCTTCCAGGTCACTTATTCTTAAGTGTGCATCTATAAACAAGAAGCCCTAGCCTCAAGCAAGGTGGACAGAGAGGACCAACACTCAAGGCTGTTCGCTTACGAAGAGCTTACTGCAAGTCATGTGTTCAAAACAATTCTGCTTGTTACATGCCAGCCAGTTAAAACTCCAGAAGCGCCACAATTAAAAGTTGGCTCTGGGTATCTTTCTGTGCGGCAGGAGCAAGAGGACTCGCTGTCTCTTGTCAACGCTCCCTTGTCTGAAGCGCTTCAATCATGGGTGGATTTTGTGGTGAACATGGCTCTTATCATAGCTCCCCACAGATGTCTGTGTTCTAAAGCATCAGTCTTCTTCACAGAGCTGTCTTTAGGTTGTCTCTCTTAAACACAGACAGACAGGTAAAAAAGATGAATGATGCAAGATGCAACTGTTTTTGAGATCAGCCTGAACCAATGGGTCTTCTCAGCAGGGGGCTGTGTTGAACGTGTTATGAGCTGATCTTGTGTAAACCTAACTCATTGTTACTTTCCTTATTCTGTGAAGTAGAAAACTGGCGCTTAGAAGGATCGAGAGCTTTGCTGTACTCTACGGTACAGTGCTGGTGTTGGAACTAGGTCTGGCTGCAAGGCGGCAATCACGAGCACAGCGACAGTGATGGCCCGAGTCTGAATTATCGGTGTCTTCTCCACGCAGGTTAAATTAATCAGGGATGGGAAGGAGAGACAGAGAAAGAAAGAGAAGGAGAGGGTGAGAGAAAATGGGAGAGAAAGAGTATGACAGTGATTTGTGTAATTATGAAGGTGGGGGTGTCAAGCTGCACCATGAAGGCCTGAGATCCATGACCACTGATGGTGTCACTTCAAGTCTGAGTTTGAAGAAAGCAAAAGGCCAATGTCCCAGCTCAAGACCTTTAAACAAAGAGAGTGAATTCATCCCATGTCTGAGCTGTCCAGGCCTCCAACCAGTGGAGTGGAACTCTCTAACGCCCCAGAAAGCAAACTTGTTTCCTCAGATTACCAAATAAAATACCATCTCATCCAGAAACATCCTCATGGCTACACCAGAATAAGGTTTAGTCAAATGTCTGGCAAACCATCTCCCACACAAGGTGACTCCCCTGCCCTTTTAATTTCCACCAGGCTTCACAGTTTGCACAGCCCCAACCCCAACCACCTTTAAAATGCACCTATGACCACACAGCCAACTCTTGGACCAGAATATGCAACTCAACCCTGGTGCTCTCTTCTCTGTCAGCCATGAGCTCTGGTTCCTCAAAGCCTGCCCCCAAAACAAAAGTTACATACAGAGTTTCAAATGGTTATCAAATTCCCCAAATCTTAAAACGCCAAATGAGCCCTCTTTGTTTTTATTGTCTCTATGGCATTTTTTATCCTTGGTGTTTCCTTTTAAGAGTTCTTGATATTTGAGTCCGGAGAAATGGCTCAGCAGTTAAGAGGGTGTTTACTCTTGCAGAGGACTGGAACTCAGTTCCCCTCATCCAGCACCTGTGTTGGTCTACGCACAATTATCTATAACCCCAGCTCCAGGGTATCTGATTTCTTCTCCTGGCATCCATGGGTACCCACACATGCATACATGCATGTATATGCACGCGCACACACATACGTGATTTAAAAATAAAAATTAAAGATCCAGACTTGGTGGCGCATGCCTTTAATCCAAGCACTTGGAAGGCAGAGGTAGGTGGATCTCTGTGAGTTCGAGGCTAGCCTGGTCTACACAGTGAGTACCAGGACAGGCAGGGCTTTGTAGAGAAACCCCATCTGAGAAAAACCAAACCAGACAAATAAATAAATAAAAACTTTAAAGATGACTAGAAATCTTTCTTCTCCTTCTACAAGATACTGAATACTCAAGTCAGAGTCCCTAGAAGTGTGCAGCGCAAAGAGTGGTGTTCCAGACACACATATGTGGACGGTCATGTCAGGGCATTGTCATACAGCAGCCGGTGAACTTCTATGTGTGCTGTCTTGGGCTTTCTTCCGCTCAGAAAGCATTTGTAGTTGAATTGCAAACCATTCCCCTCAGTTACTCACTGCATGCTATCATACCCAGACTCACATCCTTCATTTGAGCCTGGACTGTTTCTCCTCAGTTTCCCTCAGCCTTCTATCATTTCTATTTGTAGGCACATCTGTTGACACTGGAAATCATAACGTGTGATGGAGACATGCATACATATGCAGAGGCAGGCCAGGAACACAGCTGAGCCTACAAAGCTTGCTGCACACTCATGTCAATGTTTATGTTGTGATGTAAATTACATTGCTGAACTCTCACCTGCTGTTTAATCTTACCGACAAGCCCCCTCCTCTTCTGTCCCAGGCATGTTTATCTCAAAGTGTCCTCTGAAACACCCTGTCCAGAGGCCCCCTGATTCTCTTATGGGGAGAGAGAAACAGCAAGGAACTAAGGGTATGTTACATCCTTGAGAACAGCGAGAAAGCAAGCCGTTCCCAAAAGACATCACTACTGTTTATCCCAGGGTATAAAAATGCCTGAGGTAGGATCAGAAAGGAAGCCAATGGATACCCATTGAGAAAAAAAAAAAATCACAGCTGGGTATCTCGAATGGGATTTCTCAATTGACATTTGCTGCACGTTATAAGCCTCAATTTGATGTTGTCACGTTTGCTTGCTCCCAGTCAGGCTACCCCAGCACCCCCAGCCTTCTCTGCTGACGTTACGAGCACCTTCCATGACATTTTGCCACCTATCTGCTGCTTCTCTCTACCTGCTCCTTCATGTTAGTTTTCTTTTTACATTTGCTTGCTACGTGCTTAAAAATCCCTCGCATTTGAAATTGAAAGCACAGCTGTTCAGCGGTCATCCTCCAGACCATACACAACAAATACAAAAAATACTCATGTGTAATCATTAAAGGTCAAGTAGATGGAGACATGTATGGATGGTTTACACAGCTGGTCATGTTGGGAGTTCTAAGGATAGCATCATTCTACGTCCTACAATGTTAAGTAAAGACACAAACCAGCTGTGTATGTAAAGTGTGTACGTTCCCAGACCACACTCTACAGTGGCATGTGCGGGACAGAAGACATTCCAAACATACCATTGAATTTTTCACGCTCTGCAGCAAGCGCTCATGCTGCTCAGCTATGGCCAAGGCAGCAGAGTGGACCTTCTGGTAGATGGCTTCACCGTCCCGTGTTTGAAAGATAAATAGTCCTTCACCAGTCTCACACATCCTGTAAAGACAAAAAACAAGAACCTTCTGAAAACCCAGCTCCCAGAGGATCGACATGCTGAGATTTTCCTCATTTGTTTTTGGCATGGGGTCTCTCTCTAGGTCTCCCTTGCTGGCCTAGAACTTTGGGTAGACCAAGTTTACCTTGAACTTGCAACAGCCCTCTGTGTTTGGCCCTTGAGTGCTGAGATTACAGGAATGCCACCACACCTGGCAGTGTACCGAGAGCTTGAGTCCATTTATTCTTAATGTGATCAGAGCTCATGCTCACATTTGCTAAATAAAATTAACTAGACTAAAACCGTCAATGTCCAATTAATTATTGTAATAGTGGGCAGGGATTCAACATTCCTGGCTGGTGTGTACTGATTGGTGTTTTTTGTTTTTTGGTTTATTTTTTTGCTTTTTGTTTTTTAAGTCAGAAATTGAAGTAGAAGATAAATACTGTGTCTCTGTTCTCAGTATAATGCTATATTTCACCTTTTTCCCCCAAAGGGGACCCAGTGGTATTAATGCCTCCTCCTACTCCAGGAGTAATCTCTCAGCAGAAAATCACCACATGAGCTATAAGCTTCAGGGTGAAATGGGGTTCTGTCTCTCTTCCATGCTATTCTTACTCCCCACACAGACAACAGCCTTAAGGATTCTTTCATTTCCAAAACCCCAGATCAAATGTTGGTCCAGCTTCCTGCCAACAGACTGAACACAACCCATCATCCCTCCTTCAGGAACAGGGCTCCGCTGAATTAATGTGGGGGCACACGGGAAATTATTCACAGAAAACAATGTATATGGGTTTTAGGAACTGATGTCAAACATTGACAAGATGGTCATGTCTGCCCCAGACCACAAAAATCCAGAAACAAACTGATAAAGGGAGCTAGCCAGACACGATTGGGCAAGAACAAAATGAATTCTTTTAATTACAACTATTTTAGTGTATACGTATGCAAATATATTTTAATTGCTATGAATATTTTTAATGTAAGACTATTTACTTTGTGTGTGTGGGTGTTTTGTTTGCTTGTGTGTCTGTGCGCCACATGCATGCCTGCAGCCCGTGGAGGTCAGAATGGGTCCCCTGGCAGTGGAGTTACAGACTGTTGTGAGCTATGGTGTGGCTGCTAAGAGTCAAACCTCAGTCCTCTGTAAGAGCAGCCAGTGCTCCTAAGTGCTGAGCCATCTCTCCAGCTGCCGCTATGAAATCATATGCAGCCACACTGCAGAGTTCGAGTGTGGATCTATTCGATCATGGTAAGAGGTTGTATTCATTTGTTCTAACCATCCGAAGCCCCCTCTTCCCACTTCAGAACCTCTTGCTGACAGCATGCACACTGCCTTACTTGTTGCTTAAGTTTTGTTCGTGTCTGGGAAACTGTATAGCATAGTAAAGAAGCCAAGGACATGTCCAGCTCAAGCCACCGTTGTCTTCTAATCTTGTCTAGTAAACACAATTAATGCCATGAAAAGGGAAGATGTATTCCAGTCTGATTTTCACAGTTATCCCAATAACCACAGCCATGTGGGGGGGGGGGACACCAAATAATGGCAAATATTGCTTAAATTTCCTGAATATGGATTTATGAGGAAGACAAAGAAAAAGAGATGCCGAGAAGGGAGAAAAAGATAGCTTGGTTTCAATCAGCTCATGAAGCTGATTATGGAATTTTGTTGATTAAGTTGTATGCAGAAAGTCCTAAATAAGTTGTACAATAACACACTAAAGCTAAGATTCAAGGCCTTCTTCAGTTAGGTTTGTTTCATGAAGACATCTTACCCCATTGCAAACTCTGCTCTTGCTTCCTTTGCACTTAAGCCACCATATTCCACTACCTTGCACAAAGTTCTTCAAGGCACCATATTCCACTACCTTGCACAAAGTTCTTCAAGGTTTTGTGATTTTTAATTTTTTTTATTTATTACAATTTATTTACTTTGTATCCCAACTGTAGCCCTCTCCCTCATTCCCACCCTCCTCCTCCTTCCATGCCCCTCCCCTAGTCCACTGATAGGGGAGGTCCTCCTCCCCTTTTATCTGACTCTAGCCTATCAGGTCTCATCAGGACTGGCTGCATCCTCCTCTTCTGTGGCCTGGTAAGGCTGCCCACGCCACCCCACCCTCACCCTGACCAGGGGGAGATGTTCAAAGATGTGATTTTTCCACATTTTTTCCCACAAACATAAGAATTTTTATTATTAAGAGAAAGAATTAACCTTAGTTGACTCTTTAAGGGCACTAAGTCACCAGCTATTTCTCATAGGACATTGTTCATTTACTTACTTAAAATGACTTCCCTGTCCCTTGAGGGCATAAAGGCACCCATCAACTCAGAAGCACTTGCAGGATGGCTGAGGAGCACCCTGTCATAGTATTTGATGCTTACATTACAGTGCTTCCTCTACACTATGACTCATCAACTGGCAAGAACAACTCTTTAAAAGAAAAATCACCCTTTTGGACAATGTCTCTTCTTGTTTGAGTTAGAGGGTCATTGTCCTGGGCTGTCCTCCAACTTGACGCATCCTGGAGAGTGAGCTTAAACTGCTGATCTACCTGCCTCCACCCCCTGAGCACTGGGTCTACAGGTGGGAGGCACAACACTCGGTTTCAGCAGTGCTTGGTATCAGAGCCAAGGCTTTGTGCGTGGCAGGCAAGCCTTCTACCACCTGAGCTAGAACTCCAGTCCCCTCCAGTGTCTCTTCTTGAAAAACATAATGCATATCCTTTCCTCAGTGACATCATTTAAATCTCTTAAGTGCTGTAATCAAAAACAAAGGAACAAAGGAAATCGAAATGGCTAGAGCCTCAAGGATTCTTTCTTGACACTCTTTCCTGAAAGAACTCTTCAGTTAAAGCAGACACATGGCCTCCGGTTAGAATGTTGGAATTTTCTTCTGTTTGCTAAGGGATTGGTGCCCTTTAGTTGTCCCGCATGGCCCACAAAGTGGGAAACAGACAAAACCTAGCCTTCTCATACAATTCCATTCAGCCTTTTCTAATGCTGGCCCACAAGCCTTCCCTTCCTACTTGCTTTGTCTGACTGATTGGCTTAGAGCTATTTCATAAGCACCTCTCAACACATTAAAATGTTACTACAGGCCTTGGTGAAACAGTAAATGGGGGAAGGGCTCAAGGCAGTAAAAAAAAAAATAATAATAATACATCAAACAGACTAATGGCTTTACATAACAGCACAGCAGTGCAGGCTGGTCAGCTCTTTAGAAAGCACAAGAGGAAAACTTCCTCAGCGGTTGGTTCATGCATGAAAGAACAAGAAGGGCAACAGAGGCAGGCATGCTGGTATCTTGTGATCCCCTTCCTCCTTCCTCCTTTCTCTTTACCCACTGGTTTTTTACCTTGGCTGCTCTTTGAGCATGTCTCAAATCACATCTTTATCTCAGAGGAAAGCTGGGGCCACATCCCAGAACAACATCATGGATATGAGTATGACTGAAGATGACGGGGATGGAACGTGTCTAGGGAGAGGAGAAGCCAGACCTTGGCCTGAACTCACCCTGGGATCAGGAGTAAGGGCAGTCCTGGGAACCACTTTTGGTCAGAGCGCCCTATCACAACGGAAAACTATAGTTTTCACTTTCCGGGGAAAGAAGAGGGTTTCATTGCTCCCGAGCAAGACTGCATGTGACCCAGCATCCTGTCCGAATTCCTCGACTCAACAGAGTGAGAAAAGAGAATACGCTGTCTCTTACTTCCTCTTCCTTGCTAATAAGAAATGAATCACCTATAAAACTCTCAGAGAGTGTTCAATGGCCTGGAACCAAGAACACAAGTCATGAATATCTAAGAGATATCAGCTCAACTTTTGTTTTACTTTAGCCTCTTCCATTAGAAGAGAGTCCAACTTCCCAGAACAATGTCACCTTACCAGTTAGCCTGCAGTTAGTGTGAACTATATGAAAAGCTACTACTTATTTTCCAAGTCTGTTTAGATAACCTCATGTTCCAAGCAAAAACCATTTTCAGAAATTTCTGTGCACGGAATTCACGTTTCTACCTTTCTTGGCATACCTAAAATTTCATTTGAAATGATGTCAAAGGCACAAGCAAGACTCTCCTGCTCTGGTCAGCAGAGAAAGGCATTCATGTGTAGAAATTATTTACCACATTCTGACAAATGTCTCCTGAGCCTCTCTCACTCCTGCAGGGGCAAAATCCAGGGTATTAATTTAAATCATTCTGAGGTGAGGCAGAGCCTGACACTGAAGCATGTGAACCCAGCAGCCAACTCAAAACATAAGAGGAAGCTCGCCGAACACCTGCCACCCTTCTCCAAACAAAGCACTTCTGGAAAGGGCAAGTGGGAGTGGAGCTGCTTCCAGAATAACTCCTGCCAGTGGTCATCTTCCCATGGAAATCTCCAGCCTCTGACAGGTTGGTCCAATGTCGGACCCTGAAGCAGACAAGACGCCAGACTAAAGACAGACACCTCAGACAAAAGACACAGTATGTCCTCAGGTCTCCAAAATAAGTTAATCGTTACTTTGTATTGCTGGGACAACTCTTTGTACACAGTTTATTATGAGTTTTATGCTTCATCTCGGAATTTCTTCAAGGGAAAAAGCTGGCAATAGAGGTGAGTCTTCCTATCCCAGTGATGAAGGGGAGAAGGTGCTAGGAGGTTCTGCCCCGCCCCCACAGCTAGATGTCTTGGGTTACATGTGCCCAGACTCCAAAAGGAAAAAGCAAGCCAGGGTCCCAAAACTAAATTCAAGCTCAGGGTGTTAATACAGTAGCACACAGATTAGGAGGAATAGCAAATGGTTTCCTGATACAGGCCTTCCTTAAGGGATGATAGGCTGACAAGATTAGATATGATATAGGAGCAGCAGAGAGGATGCAGAGGTGAAGAACGCGTGCTGCTCTTTCAGAAGACTGGAGTTTACTTCGTTGTACCCACATCCGGCAGTTCACAACCAGCTCCAGGGGACCAGATGCCTTCTTCTGCCCTTGGAGGGTACCCACTCTCACATACACACACACACACACACACACACACACACACACACACATACACAAACACATACACATTACATACATGTATACATGCACCTATACATACTACCACAAACACACACATACATGCAATCACATATATATGCATACGAACATCACATACACACACTACCACAGATAAACACATATATACCTTCATCATATGCATATACACATATACATTCATATTCATATACACATCATACATACATACATATACACATCACATACACATACTACCACAGATGTACACTTCATATACACATACACATACACATGCTACCAGAGACACACCCATAAACAAAATAACCCCCCTTGGACCTTTCTGCTGGAAACAAGGAAATGCTACATTGGACGCACACTGGTTTTAAAACTTCGCATCTCTCCCCTTTCAAAAGAAACAAGCCCTCCCACTCCATGCTTTGAGAGACATTCCCCACTCTGTGTTCATCCTATGAGCTTTGTGCAAAGTGCTCAGAACAGATCCGGAGTCTCCTATTGAATATAACGATCAACATATCATAGTTACCCGTCTGTCTCCCATTGGCTTGTGTTTGGGAGAACTCCAAAGCTCCCAGAAGTCACCAAAACATCCAGGAAATAGACAAGCTAGAAGAAGCAAAGCTCGCCAATAAAACTGTTCTGTCAACTGAGCCCTGAATGAAGCTATGCCTGCAGCCATCTCCACTCCTAGACTCTAAGTCATAACATACATGGATGTCTTTGCTTTTCACTTCGGGCTGATTCAAGCGCCTACTACTTTCTAGGCTCTGTCCCAGCTGTTCTTCCTTGTGCCTTTATTTAATCTTAATAACACTTTTATGACCTGATCCGGGTTATGTAATCCCAGTGTACAGGTAGCTGTAGAAGCTTAACTCCCATTCTTCCCAGATCCACTACAAAGAAGAAATAAAATTTTATTCCACAACCGCCAATTTGCAGTGTAAAAATAGTGTGGCTGGTGGGAACCTCACTCCTGCTCGCTCCTGAAAGTGAGAGAGGGTGCTATACTATTAGTTATCATCAAACTGCCTTGTTTTATAGATATCCAAATATAACCAGGGAGAAAATTCTCTTTACCAATAAAATAAGGCAGATATAAAAGCTTCACACTTGGGTGACACAAATGGTCTTATTATCTATCTTCCTGATGATAATGATAAAATTCCATCTTCGTTTGCATTTCAAAAAATATGAACTAGTGACATTACTTTGTGTTTCACACTTCCTGTGTTCTGTAAGCCCTCATCCTGCTCCAAAAGTCCTGACAGAATATAAGGAGACTCAAAGGAAAGCATATCAATCCATGCAAGCAAGTTCTTAGTTTCCCATAAGAATGTTCCCTTATCATCAAGACAAAAAAAGAGTGCCAATCTCAATGTGAGTTTTATTTTTTTTTTAATGTCATAACCTTTGCTCTCCAGGAGAGTAGCCAACTCAGTTCTGTATCCTTGAGAGTAAGACAGCCCAGGTGTGTGTCAGCTAGTCCCTAGGAGATGGAGGCAGGACGATCAAGTTTGAGGGGAGCCTGGGTTTCCCTCAAAAACAAGTGAGAACAAGGAAACTAACAACAAAATAAGAAAGAAAGAGAACAGACCAAAGAAGAACTGCGTATGAAAGAAAAACTTTTTCTTAACTTTTACAATGTTGTGAAAGCATTAAATTGATCACAGATCCAAAAGGAAGTTTTAAACACTTGGGCTCCATTTAAAATGAGATGAACTGGCTGACCTGATTGGCAGGCTACTCCCACTGGTTCACACAAGCTAGCAGCTTAGACCTCTCCTCAAATCAGTATCATTTCCTGTGAAGGAACCATCAGTTTTAACCAAGTATCCTGAGTGCTGTAGTTTGTTACAATTTCAGTTTAACTTTACCCTAATTAGGGGCTTATATTTCAATTTTAATAGAATACTTTTACCAATTCTTTGAGAATTCTGTTCAGTGTGTTTTGATGATATGAACCCCTACTCCTTCTCCATCTCCTCTCAGATTTATCCCTTGCTCTGTGTCTCCCAATCTACCACTCACCTTTGTGTCTCCAACCTGGTTTTTTTATTTTGTTTTGCTTGCTTGCTTGTTCGTTATTTTTTTAGTAACCCGTTATTCATTCTGTGCTGTTTATATGCTTCTGGGTGTGAGGTCATCCAGCGGAGTGCGGTCTGCCTACGAGAAGCCATACCCTTAAGGAAAACTGACTCTACTTCCCCCAGAAGCCATGGGCTGTCCACAGTTCCTCAGTTAGGGTCAGGGTTTCTGAAGCCCTCTCTACTCCACACTAGAATGTTGAAGAGTTTGGGGGGCTCATATTGCTTAAAACTTAAGTCATCTGAAAATTTAAAACACAAAAAGGTGGCTGGTTTTTGCTTTAAAAAAGAACCTAAACTCTTAGGGAAGAAGAAGAAGGGTGGGAAGTAAAAGGAAACACAAGCAGAGGGAACTCTTTCTAGGCTATGATCTCACCCAATTGGAACTGTGTTCTTTTCACGCCCACATTTGCCTCTGACAGGAGCAATGAGAAGCCTTAAGAGGGCTTGCTGGGCTGACAACAAGCAAGATTCAAAGTCAAGCACCCCAGCATTCCAACACTGCCACCTTTGTTAAACAGTGAGTTGCTCAGATGGACCTTGGTTAGCTGAGAATTGTCAGCGGTCCTCTCGTGTGGGCTCTGTCCTGCTATTTCCCATAGAGCTGTGCTCACTGAATTCCAGCAAGGAAGATGTCCAAACAACAAGAAGCTGACCTCCATTTCGCTTGTCACAGTCCGTGGCACAGTTTACCAGTTTAGTTTCAGTTTGTGGCATGCCATCAAATCAAGTAATAAAAGTTGATGTCATGTCTGTGAAGCGTTAGAATCCTCCCTAGAAATGAAGGGACGCTGGTTCCTGAACACTGCTATAATCTTTCCAGAAGGCCACGGTTTCTGAATTTTCCAAAGTGTACCTCTGACCCAGTTGCCATGATCTGAACCGGAAGGGGGTCAGCAGACACCGGGGAAGGGTGTGTGAGAATCCGAGAACTCACCTCCCCGCCTCAAAAGTGAACCATGTGGTGTCACGTCCATACCGCCGCAGGGCGCTTAGCGGCCAAGAGATGAGTTTGACTCTGGGATTCTGGATGTCCCAAAGACAGATGTACTCGTATGTAATCTGCAAGGCACATTCGCCATGTACATCTAAGTTAGGAGACGGCATCAAATACACATTGAATCTCTCTGGGAGGAAAACAGAGGGTCAGTCCACAATTTCCAGAAACAAAAGAGCAAAAACATCACAGGAACACAGAAGCTTTCAAAACTATGTACATGCTAGGGTTTGTTCGGCAGAACATTCAGCAAGGTGAAAGTTACAAATGAAGTATCCCAGGAAATGCATTTTTAAACGCAGGTGTTATTACATCGCATAATGATACACTCCGGGTGTCAACACACCAAAGACTATTTACATGAACAGAGAGCTTTTTTAGGCTTTTTTTCATTTGCATCATAAAAAATATGCCAGTAAAAGACCAGAGCAATGAAACTACTAAAAGCAATTTTTCCCCCTGCGGCACACTCATTAATTACACCTACAGGTCTGTATTCACAAAAGGCGCAGGTGCAAAAGGATGTGTTTGTGATTTGTGGTCCTAAGAGTCCTGATCAGCTTATGATTCTATAATCAGCTGAATCAAGCTGTACCCCAAATTACTTAAGCCACACCCCACGGCATCAGCATGTCATTAATGGACCAGCAATTGTGAAGTTGCCAAGGCATATACTTTAAAAAGTTTGAACAAAGGACTTTCTTTAGCCAACTCTGCAAAGAGCCAGCCCTTTGCTTCCAGGGGCAACTGTTGAAAATGTCACCAGGATTATGACAACTAGCTGGTGACTGTAAGGAAGATCTCACCTGAACACAGTTACACTGTTTTTATTATTATTATTTAGAAAATCCATTGACATAAAAAGTTACAGAATCAAAAATCTCTAAGTGAAATATGCGTAAAAATACAATGGCATTTGCAAGCACAATTCTGTGTGCTCATCCTATATTAGATCCTGGACATCTGGAAAGAGTATGGTACTAACAATTTTATATTAGTTATGTTTGCAATTAGCTGTTTCATAAGAGCAACCATCAAAAATCTCTATATTTTATTTGAACTTACTAAATAGTTATAGCAAGATTTTTTTTTTCATGAATAGGATCAGGTACCTGCTATTTAAGTTTTTTAAATTTAATTTAAACATTTAACCAAATGTTGAGTGCTTTCTAGAAACTATCATGAAACAGTTATGTACCTTGAGATTTCTGGACCCATGGATACAAAACTGTTTTCCGTAAGTAAGAGGTAAAAGAGATTATTGTTAATGAATTTTCTTAGAGGCAAATTGATTTGCTTTAAGATAAATTAGCGGGGTTTCGGAAAGAGTGGTCTGCGATAGAGTGCTTGCCTAGCACACTCTTGGTGAGAAACCATTTTAATTGCCCTTATTTGAATGCCTACAAAATAAGATTATGAAGTACTTTCAAAGAAATAGTGGAGTTTTGTAAAAGTCTATAATAAGAGAAAACCCAAGCACACAACACTGGCAGACAAAAAGGAAACCTTAGGCATGGTTCTTAATTTGCATTTCAGCACTGAGTTTCTATGACTCCACAGATACAAATGTGTGAAAGCTAAACGCTGAACCAGCCACTCCAGAGAGTGACAGCAAACAAGCTCTCCCACGCTTTCCATGCCAGGATTGTGTCCCCAGGGCCCTGGCCATCTCCCCTCTGTCCAGCATTACACTGACTGACTGAATGAGAGCCGATCTGGGGTGGGGTGAATGGCCTTGGCAAATGACTTCACCCCTCTGCATCTCCAGCCTCCTCAGTAAGAGTCAGCACTTCCGGTGCTTGATCCACACAGTTGTGTGGCGACAGACTGTGGTAGGTACAGTGCATCCAGCGTGGGCGAAGGCTGTCCATGTGTCATGAAGACACAGCCGTGGTTGGGAGGGGGAAGCAGATTTAACTAACAACTAGACTGCGCACTGAGAGCAATTTCACCTCGGTCGTGTCTGCCATCAATCCAGGTAACCCAGAGCCCTTTCCACTCTGAGAAGGGCTCATAGATCAAGTCAGGCCTGAAAGCAGAACTGTGCAGTCCAATCTCCCTAGCCACTGGGCTCAGCTATTTGAAGATGAAGCTATTATTCCAGGCTTGTACTATGAATCAACATTGATTTTTACTAAAATGTTCATGAATATTTTGGTCATTATTATTTTAAAAGATTTATTCCTAGATGCTGTGTTGAGCCGAGTTGGCTCAAGGGTTGAATATTTTTATCACAGATTTTTAAGTGGGTTTAAACTTGATGAAATATTGTTGGAGGGGGGAGTTAAATTCTGTTTAAAAACATTGGAAACTGTTCAAACATATTTTAAGTGAAAAGGCAAGGTGAAAATCATCATAAGTTTAAAGTCTGTACATCATAAATGGAGCTTCACCATCACAGTCTGGATTCAAGCACTAATGTACATTTGGAACGAGGTGTTTTGCCCATCTATAAAATGGGGGAAGTCCTAACACCTGTGGGCTGGGGAGCCTGTGCAAACATGGCAATTGAATATTCATAAGGCGTCTTCTATTCAGCTGGTACACCCTGTGGTTCTCAAAATCTCTGACAAAAGCCATTAGCGTGGATACTTTTTTATTATACATTACAAAACTTTTGAGGAAAACGTTCCCTGCATTATTAACATTGATTGCTATTATAACTTACTTCATACATTTTTATAACTCACAGTGTACATAGTGATGACGGCTTGTGCTTTATCATAAGGGAGAAAAACAGCTTATGAGAGAGATAAAAGGTGAAAACGTTGCATACATACCACTCTGCTCCCGCTCCACCCCGGTAGCCAGTAAATCTGGCTCTCCGAGGCTGATGTCATTGATTCTGGTCCCCACACACTCCATCTGGAGAACTTTGCACCACTCATCTGCCTCAAGATCTGTGGAGACAGCAACCAAACCAAACAAAACGCCCACAAAGGTACATTATCCTCTATGCCAGGTGCTCAAAGATGAAAGGCCAAAGACCCCTCCCCCACTTGCCTCAGACAAACCTGATTCACAAGCAAAGGTCTTCGAAGTGTCATCATTGAAATAAATCCCTATAGCATGTTTCTTGGTGCTCTTTGGCAATCGGGCTACATTTTTCACATTGTTGAGTTCTGTTACCTGAAAAAAAAAAAAAATCAAGATTTGGATGTCTGGTCACACGCTCTGCACGAACACTTCCCACCTACGTGAGAGCAGAGAGCTCATCACCTGTGAGCCCAGCCTCACAGAACACATCTACAGCTGTGAAGGCGAAGCATGAACTAGGAGGATGGGAGCAAAGCAAAGGTGATCCAGTCCAATCGTGGAATTATCACATCAGAGGTGAAGGGTCAAAAATTTCAAAAACCGCCCCCATGATTAACAGTCAAGCCATACATCACAGCTCAGAGACCCGATCACACACTTGCTCTCACTCTCTCTTACTTTGAGCTCCTTTGTGCTTATGGGTCTCAGTTTTAGGATAGGAGAACACTGCACAGAACACAGCAGCAAAGATGCCCCACTATACACTCTTTGCCTTCCCCCCAACAAATACAGAATCTTATCCACCGACACTTATATAAATCCCTCCCCTGAGACAAGGGATGTTAACTCATGGTGCGTCCACCATGGAGGTTCTGCTTGGGTGAGATCCTATCATAGTGGAAGGGGCCTGCCAGGAGGAAGGCGTATGTGGCTTTCTGGTAAGTATTTATTTACAAGATAAATAAGCCTTTCACAGTGGCAAGCTTAAACTCCCCTTAACACCCCCTTTAACTGTTATACAAAGGAATAGGTCTCCCATCAATCTTGGCCTGCAGTGATGCTGGACCACCTCTCTCATCTATTACCTTAAATTCAATAAATGCCTGGCTTAGGAAATAACCCGGGAAGAGAAATAAACACCCTCCATGGGCACATTAATCTGATCATTTCATTTCCCGGCTTCTTAACCTCCAGTGGCCCTTCTTATAGTATAAATGCAAATTGATCAGCGTGAAAGGCCACGGAGTGCCCCTCAGAGGCTTTCCATGCCAGCATCTCCAGGGACTCTACAGGACATGGCTTATCCCCAGCCTGCAACAAGCCCCTTGGCACTTACTACACACAACCGTTGGTTTGTTTTGTGTGTTTATTTTGGTGCCGGGACCCAACCTAAGCCACTGCCACCTCTTTATAATTATTTATTTGTCTCCCTACTTCTACTTTAAACCCCAGGAATTCGCTGTGCAAACAGCATGTGATCTTTGCAACCTGGAGGCCTGATTCAGGCATTTTTTTAAAGCACGAAACTTAACGCCTCCAAGATTTCCAGTTTTACTTGGCATGAAAATCCAAATCCTTGTGTCCAAATGACCACCTCGACCCTCTGTGTCTCCTCCACAGCCAACTCTCCAGCATGTTTCTACCATGTCCCCAAGTTTTCCATGGACTTGACAAAGTGGACTCCACTCTGTGCAAGAATAAACCATGTGGCTTCCCAGGCTTAGAGCCTCCCTTCCTCTCTACCTACTGTACTCCAGTCACCCTAAATTAGATTTCAGTTACTCAATGATTCCCTACTGCGGGAACTCCACTCCAGTATCCAAGCTTTCCCAAGACAATGCATAACTTCTGTGACTTCTTTCTTGACCCTCCGCTGGCTCCCTGGGTGACTGGTTTAGTTCTTGTCCTGCTAAGGACTGTCGGCTCCTCATGGCAGGCACTGTACTTACATAAGTTTCATTATTGATTCCCAGGGTCTAACACAGAGCTTGTCTTTAGGGAGTTGAGCAAGACCCAAGAGAATGCTCCAGCAAATGTACACTGTTGACTTGGGCACAACCATGTCCAGGATTCCAAGGCCTCAGACTCATGGGGCATTTGCAAAGTCGGTTCCCCCACATGGGCCAGGCTCAAGAGAGTTGTCACAGTTCTCAGGGGTCCCAGTATGATCATTCTGTGAAGGAGTGACCAGTGTGTGCAAAGCATAGCAACTGCAGTTTCCTCATCCCAGATGTTTAGAACCTGAGACTGCTCCCTGACAAGCGCTCCAGACCAGCAAACCCCTCCTTGCTGTGCTGTACCTAATAGACCCAATGAGGTTCTGGGTGACTGAAGTAGCCAGAACCACATCTGCTCCCACACTGTCTGTGTGCTTGTGTATCAATTTGTCTGCAATTTCTTCATTCCCTGCAATTTCTTCATTCCCTCACTGCAAGGGCTTTCTGCAGATCTTGTCCTCTCCTGGGAAGTCACTCAATCCATGGACCTTGTGAGCAAAAGACTAGACTCACCTACAAACTTATTGTGGAAGTCCGCTTGCCCTGGGGAGACTGCCCCTGACCTTGTGGGTTCTTCATTCCTTTTCCTAAGCTGCCATACATGGGACCTGAAGCTCTGCCTGATTTCCTGTTGTTATAATCACTATCTCACCAGCTCCCAGGGAGACTTGAGTCATCTGGCAATGACTTCCTGATGGATGGCATCAAAGAAAAATGATCAGACCTCAGGGCAGCACATACTGAACCTCCCGGTGAGCTCCATCCTGGGCTTAGCATTTCCAGATAGTATGCCTGTTTGGTCTTCATCAAAGTCCTGGAGATGGAAGTTAGTACTATCAGGATTTTTTCAGAGGTGAGAACTGAGGCTGAAGAAGGTTAAAATCATACCACCAAGTTCATGGCTAAGACTGGCGGAAATCATTTGTGAAGCAAAGCAGATGAACACTTTCACCTCCTCTGAAACACTGACACTTAAAAGCTTGCAGCTCCAAAGTCACCTTCTGCTTGAAGGCGTTAGTCTTTTTAACACAGCATCTTGCCTTTGGGACACAGGTAGGGCATGCATGTGCCAGGCTTTAGGCTGGCCCTCCACTGAGACATTACTTAAAGGAAGTCTGAAATGCAGCCATGACTTTGAAATATGTTGCTTCATTACATATCCATTAAGGGGCCAAGAGGAAGACATAAGTCATGGGAAACAGCCAGGAAATGCAGGAGAATTGCATGAGTCAGAACACAATTACCCATTCTGGAAATTGGTTTTGGTAATAAGCAAAGCGACACCCCCGCTCACTGCTCCAGGGAGGAGAGTGACTGTTCATAGGGCAGGCAGGGTCAGGACTGCACGTGACAAAGGATGACTGGTTCCCCAAACAGAGGCCTATGCCAAGCTCAAAGCTCTGCACTGAGCGTGTGCACACTCCCCCATCCAGCCCCACCCACACATTTACACGCCTCGAGTTCAAAGGCGTTGCAGTCTAGACAGACCCTTGCTCAACACACATGCTAAAGAGCATAAACACTTTCCACGGACACCACTGTGTCATGTGAGACTTTCAAAATGTGCTTTTTTTCTTTTCTCACTTTATTCTATAAACGACAACACTGGGACAGAATGGACAAAATACTGTGCTTATTTATTTATTTACTTATTTATTTATTTTACAAACAAACTATTTGATTGGACAAATCAGGTTTTTGTAGCCAGGCTAAGTTTTTTATAAGGTCGCAGAGTCTTATTTGATAGAACTGCTATTTGAAAGGGTGGGAGGGTTGGGGGGTGGGCTCCAGACCTGTGCCTAAACAGCAAAGGTTACTATCGAAGATTGATTAAGTGACCTCAAAGAGGATGAGCAACAGAGCTTGTGCTAGTGACGTGACTCACTCACCTATCCTTCAATTTGACTTTCTCTGCAGGCTTTAGTAGTTTCCTTTCTGTTGTGATAAAGCACCCTGACAGGAGCCATGTAAGGAAGGACGGGCTTATTTTGACAGTCCACCTTGGCAGGGAAAGCATGGCAGAAAGAGAAAGAGGCCAACCCACAACACTGCTCTGGCAGCCCAGAATCAGAGAAAGAACAGGAAGTGTGGCCAGTCTGTCAAACCTCAAAGCCCGCCCCCCATTGACAAACTTCCTCCAGGGAGGACCCATCTTCTCAACGCTCTGTCACCTTCCCAAGCTCCCCCACCAGCTGGGGACTGAGTGTCAGACACATGAGCCTGTGGAGGCCATTTCACATTCAAACCACACCGAGGTCCTTTAAGAGTCTCAGAAGGTGTGGGTTTAATTCTTTTGTGGCGGAAAAGAACTTTTATAGTAATTGGGTGTTCTGTTGGATTGACTATGTAGAATAGGCTTTGCATAGTGGTTTTTAGACAGATTAATTCCTTCAACATATAATGGCATCAAGGCAGGCACCACTCAGTTTTTTGGAGCAGAAATATAGTCCTTCCCCAAGCAGCTTCCTTGTACATGTCCACAGTCCACACTATCTAATCTTTGGTTTGTTTCCTGTCTATCTTTTCATTCACTCTTTTTTTTTAGATCCTAGCATTTATTCTCAGTCAAGTGAGAGGCAGCATTACTACCCTTCCAAACTTAATTTTACATAAAGAAAGTGACTAGCCAGCACAGAAAGGTGAGATATGCTGAGAGCACTGCCGCCCAGGGTATAGTTTGTGCTCAGGAAACTTCTACTTTTCTTTATAACAGGTTAAGGAAGCTCTGTTTTGAGAAGAAACTGTTGAAACAGGAGACCAAAGACCTGATGGAATGATTCTTGCGGACAGCTGAAACCATGCAGAAGGGACTTAGGAAACAGCCAGTTTCAAGGGCCCTGAGGTAGGAACCAAATTATTTGGCAAGGACTCTCTGTCCACAGCCTTTAACACTGATTCCTGCCCTTCATTCCCTTCCATTCCAGAATAATTCAACCCTGCATATACCCTGTACCTGCACCACAGTTTCTCGGGGGGGGGGTGCTGTGCAAAGCAGACAGTTCGAAGGAGATCAAGATCCTTCACCCTTTTTTATTTTATTCTCGTCAACTCGATCAAAACTCCTACTGTAACTTTCTTTTGGCAGGGAGTAGAAAAATACGACACACAAACAAATGTACAGTGTGAAACCGCCTGGCTGTAGTTCTCCTCGGTCCATGCGCATACAGGAAAGAGAACGCATGCATACAGAGACTAATGTACTCATTCCTGAAACAGGAATAACATGATGATTCAAAAAAACCAAGTGTGTAAAAAAGAAAAAAAAAATTGGTCTGTCTTGAATGTGGACATTCACTATTTCATGTTACCCCTAAGGTTTAAATTTATTTTGATTGAGGTGAGAATGATATTCAGTGCTAGTTAGATGTCTAATAA